GAGGCCGACCACACGAAATTACAGCAGACGCCGCTGACAAGAAGTCCCAGCCTAAGATTATCTGATGAGCGCACGAAGACAGCACAGCCAATTGTATGTGATGACGGATTCCATTGATGAGAATACGAGCAGTGCACCACCCGGTCGGGCGAATCGGACTGTCATTAGCACCGCATAACATGGGACCGGCATAAGGAGTTTGCACTTTACGCAGGCGAAAACACAATTCACGATCAATTACCGAAATTGCGGCTCCAGTGTCTATAAGGGCGTCAACAAAAACACCTTCCACAGAAACAGGCAGTAAATTAGCTGGACGAGACGGAGGAGTTGTAGCGTTCCGACGACAAGCAGTTTCCCCTCCAAAAACTGCACCTTCTAGTTTTCCGAGTCCCGAGAGATCGGAGCGGGACGCAAGGGTGATGATGTACGCCGAAACGGTGACGGAGAACGGCGGCGAGATGAACGAGAAGGATGAGGCCCAGCATGAGACCGTGGAGGGGAGGGCGACTGACGGAAGGTGGATGGATACGGTGCGGGATCGTAATCATCGGGTCTCGGGGAAAAGTCTCTCTCGTAAGCTGAGTAACCACGTCGTTCATCCTGCTGACGGCGGCGGCAGAAACGGGATATATGACCCCTTATGCCACAGTAGAAGCAGATGGGGCGGGGAGGACGCCATGTAGAATAGTGGCGTAGCCTTGGCGCTTGCGTTGTCATCGCAGCCACATGGTGGCATCCGACGTCCGCAGGCACGGTTGGAACTGGTGCAGGGACCCGCGATGCAACTTCTGCGTACGAAGGCACTGGGAAGCGCACAGGAGACGGGGCATGTGCAGCGCTTGTCATTGATGCCAGTTCGTCCTTGATTATCTCTCGCAGGTTGGGAGGAGGTGTGTGGACAGACGCAACGGTAGGGTTGCCTGGAATAAGGCCGTGAAGTTCTTCTCTGACAATTGTGCGGATAAGGGCCCGCAATTCGTGCTCTTTGGTAAAGCGAGCGTCGCAGGAGGCGTGTGGAAGGCGCAAGGAATGAAGCGCGTCCAGGCGTTGGCATGTAGTGATGACGTCCCGGACGGTAGTCGGGTTCTGAATCACGAGAGCATTGAAGGCCACAGAGTTGATGCCTTTCCGTAGATGTCGGACGCGATCGGCCTCCGTCATGTCATTTTGTGCTCGGCGACAGAGAGCCAGAATATCTTCAATATAGGACGTATACGATTCGTCGTCCCCTTGAATGCGGGTTGCGAGCTTCTGTTTCGCTACTAGAGAACATCCTGCAGACGTGCCAAATACCTGACGGAGATGCCCCGTGAAGGCCGACCAATTGGAGAAGTCGCTCTCGTGGTTGTAATACCAGGTTTTAGCGACGCCATCGAGGTAAAAAGGAACGTAGCGCAGTTTGTGCGCCTCGTCCCAGTAATTACAAACGCTGGTTCGATCATAACTGTCGAGCCATTCTTCGACGTCTTCGTTGCGAAGGCCCGAAAATACCGGAGGGTCTCGATGAGAGGTACTCACAGTGTAGTGAAGCCTAAGTGGCTGAGAAGGAGCGGTTGCAGCAGTGGGCGGGTTGGGTTCCGCCATTGCTGTTGCTTGAGGGCACAACCGTCGACCAGACCGGAGCTCCAGGGGTGACGGGTAGAGCAGGAGGACGTGGGAACCAAAGCACGCTCCACCACTTATGAGACCACGTCCGGTACGGCAGCAACCAGGTTATCCTTTTCTAATCCAGGCGCACGAGCCAGAGAGCCAGCCCGCGTGACATATGATGATGATCACTACAATGGTTTGGTCATGCAGATGAAGATGAAGTACATAGTCAGCGCTCACAATATATATATATATATATATATATATATATTGAGATAAAGCAAGAAAGAGACACAATAAAGGACGTCTGGAGCTTTCCGAAAACGCTGCGGACATTGCAAATGTTTTCGTATGGTTGCTTGAGCCTTCCATAAGATGACATTGTCGTCTTTTCAACTGATTTCGCTACCCATTTAACTCGCCTCGAGAAAGTCCTCGCGTGTATTTCTGCCGTGGGGCTGCAACTGAATCTGAAGAAGTGCCATTTCGCTGCTCGAAAGCTTACGATCCTTGGCCACGTGGTTTCAAAAGACGGCATTCTTCCTGACCCTGCCAAACTTACAGCTTTTTCAGCGTTTCCCGAACCGACCACCATGAAAGAGCTCCGAAGCTTCATAGGCCTTTGCTCTTACTTCCGGCGCTTCGTCCACAATTTCGCGACGATCATCGCTCCTTTGAGTAAGCTCCTCGCCGGCTCTAGAGACCTTTCAGCCTGGTCTGCCACCTCGGACGATTATTTCAATGAACTGCGCCGCCTCTTCACGTCGCCGCCTATTCTGCGACACTACGACCCATCGGCACCCACAGAGATCCACATCGACGCTAGTGGTGTCGGGCTAGGCGCTATTCTTGCACAGAAGAAAGACGGCTTCCAAGAGTACGTGGTTGCCTACGCAAGCCGAACTCTTAGCAAAGCCGAAGTCAACTATTTCGTCACTGAAAAAGAATGCCTCGCCATTATTTGGGCGATAGAGAAATTTTGACCTTACGTGTACGGGCGCCCTTTTGACGTCATGACTGACCACCACGCCCTCTGCTGGTTGTCGTCAATGAAGGATCCAAGCGGTCGCCTCGCCCGATGGGCATTACGCCTCCAAGAATATAATATTCGCGTGGTCTATCGCTCCGGCCGGAAACATTCAGACGCAGACGCCCTATCCCGTTCGCCCCTACCCCCTGACCCGGAGTGCTGCGAAAGTCTAACCTGTGATGCCTCTGCCGTCACCATCGCCGACATGCCATCTGAGCAATGCAAGGACCCTTGGGTTGCTTCGATTCTAGACATCCTGGCCTGGCGGACGGCTTCCCTCCCTTCTCGCACGTTGCGTCGGCAAGTCGATCACTTCGCCACTCGCGACGACGTGCTGTACCGACGTAACTACGCACCCAGTGGACGTCAGTGGCTACTCGTGATTCCACGTCATCTGCGATCCAAAATTTGTTCCACGTTTCATGACGACCCCCAATGTGGCCACGCAGGTTTCCTGAAGACTTATTCTCGCATACGTCTCCAATATTACTGGCGTGGCATGTACCGTTTTATACGACGATACGTTCGGGCCTGCTCGACGTGCCAGAGACGAAAAACTCCCCCTTATCACGCCAGCGGTACCTTGTTACCCTTACCATGCCCATCCCGACCATTCGACCGCGTCGGCATCGATATCTATGGTCCCCTTCCCAACACTGCTGACGGCAACCGCTGGATCATAGTTGCCGTCGACCATCTCACGCGGTATGCCGAAACTTCATCCCTTCCCTCATCTACAGCAAAAGGCGCTGCGCGTTCGTTCTTCACAACATCGTATTATGTCATGGAGCATCTCGGGAGTTACTGAGCGATCGTGGTCGCGTATTCTTGTCAGACGTCATCACAGCATTGCTGCGTGAGTGCCACGTCGTTCACCGCACTATAAGCGCCTATCTTCCCCAGACCAATGGAATGACAGAGCGCTTCAACCGCACCCTTGGTGACATGCTGTCTACGTATATCTCGTCAGACCACTCCAATTGGGACCGAGTGCTCCCGTTTATCACGTTCGCCTATAATACCGCCATTTAAAGCACTACTGGGTTCTCTCCTTTTTTCCCTCCTTTACGGACGCAAACCTTCTTGCACTATGGACACCATTCTTTCGTATAAACCTGACTCCTCAGAGTCCACGACTTTTTCTCAAGCCGCTACATACGCTGAAGAATGCCGCCAACTGGCAAGATCATTCACAACCCAAGACCAAGGACGCCAAAAGCACCACCATGACGCATCAAATAACACTACTTCCTACGATCCAGGTTCACTCGCCTGGCTGCACGTCCCTTCTGCTACACCTGGCCTTTCTACCAAGTTGGTCCCCAAGTATCACGGCCCATATCGTGTGCTACAAAAAACGTCACCAGTGAATTACCTCATTGAGCCACTGGAACCATCTTCGGACCAACGTCGTCGTGGCCAGGAAATTGTCCACGTCTTGAGACTTAAGCCCTGCTACGACCCTCCCGTGTTTACTTGTCCATAGGTCGCCAGGATGGCTCCTTATTTCGTGGGGAGTAATTGTAATGAATTAATGAATCTGAATAACGGACGCTCTGCTGGTAATGAAGAAGACGATGATGATCGGTGGCTGTAGTAGTAGCTCGCGCACGCCGCTCGCCATTAGCCAGGCCTGCCTGATAAAGCACCGTACAACACCTCTATTTTAATATATATATATATATATATATATATATATATATATATATATATATATATATATGTATATATATATATATTATGCGGAAGAATGCACTCAGGGTCGTCTGCGCGTGTGCTTATCTAGTGAGCGAACATCGTGGCAACAATCAGTGCGCGGCTCTTGCCCCGCCACAGCAGGCGGGAGCTTCTACAGGCTGCGCTATCAACACGAAAAAAGGGTGCGAAAAGTGTACCCAGAGTGGCCGTCCACATATAGATGCGCTCTACACATAAGAAACTGCCACCAGCGGCGACACGCGACCTATAGCCCTCAGTACCAGCATGCGCTGCCCACGGGAGGCAGTTCTCATCAACGCCATCACTATGCACGAGCCTTCTTGTGGTCATCTACTGTGGTCGCGCCGCAGGAAACTTGGTTGATGAGCAAGTGCTGATTACTAGAAATAATATTGCTCCTAAATATGCTAGCCTTGCTTCCTAAAACATTCGAACACGTTGCTATCACATTCATTGCTTCGTCCTTTTGGCGAAACTGTGAATTTTTTGGTCACGTGTTCTGTTCAACGCCATGTGCGATCAAGATGGTGCCTGACTAGCTGCCTTTTCTTTTTCTTTCTCTTTCGTTGCTGCTTAGCAGCTCCTGCCTGAATGCACTGCATGCCGTAGGCTTTGAGAAAATTGGCTGGAAAAAGTGCCATAGTGTATTTCTTTTCAGATACGTGAAAGAGCACGAGTGCGCGGCGCCGCAGCGTTGGAAAGTGGGCCCCTTCGGCCACATCCGTCACCTGTCGTCCGGGAGCACGACGTCTGAGGACACGGTCGACGTGCATCGGCCCATCAAGCCCAATGATGAGAGTGAGTGCACATTGGTTGTTCGATTTCGCACTCTTTGGGGCGTAAGTGGAGCACGAGGTATGTTTTTTTGGTATACGCCGCTCTTCTTCACTATATAAACCCATTTTACACGGCTTTTAAATGTACTTGGCCGTTTTTCCGACAGATTACACCACCCTGTTCTAGCGTAGCCGATGGCCTTGGACTATTTTCAAACTGACTTAACAAGAGACGACTTAAACAGAACAAAAATGTTCTCCTCTATCTGCCACGTACAGTGCTCTACTGCTTATGGTCCGCGACTGCTGACCCGCAGGTCGTGGAACGAGGCCCACGTGCCTAAGGCCCGTGTCCCTGCATCTGTAGGAGCACGGTAAAGAACGCTATGGTGGCGGTATAATTTCCGGACCCTGACACTATGGCGTCCCTCATGATCGTAGCGTTGTTTTGGAATGTTCAACCCCAACAATTAATAAATGCTTAGGGGCTCCGCCCTTCCCCTCGCCACTTTCTTATCTTGGTGGCCCACAGGTCACTACCCTTTTCTAAGGGGGTCTCACAATTAATTCATTCATTCAGGGCAAGAAAAAAAAAAGCTGTCGTAATTATCTTTGCAGATGATGCTAACTTTGGATGCGTTGTGGACGAATGTACGAAATGTACGAAAGCGCAAGATAATGTTAACTAACGATTTGACTGATAGATTCGCGTTCATCTAGCGCTTTTTCTTGCAGAACTGTCGAGCATGTGATGACAGTATTCATTTAATTCTCCCACTGTAAAAATTCTTGGTCATGTGTCTTGGTGTGCAAAAATGTCGCAAGCCTTCTTTCTACTCAATTGTACACTGTCTTTCACTCTGTCACACTTGGCTTTCGTGTACCACTGTAATGCGCTTCCACGGGTCACTTAATACTCTTTTTATGTCATTGCTCAACAGATCATTATTGATGCTTTTGTTCTGTTTCTTTTTGGAGCAACATTTACAAACCAATGAGGAGGAGCTGATGCTGATAATTAAGTGACTTCAGATTAGCACTTCTTATGTTTAATTAGATGCCTGTTATGTACTGCACAAAATGTGGCATTTTCATTTTAACAAATTGTTTAAGTCATGGGTCCTGCTTATCGAAGAGATCTATTGTGGGTGTACTTTGTAGAAAGTCTGATAGCTTTCATAAAAGGGGCCTCGCACTGGGGACGTAAAGAAGAACTGTGTGAATCGTGGTGCCGAATATATCATTTTAAAACATACGCCAGCACTAGTGATTGATAAGAAATATTTGGCCATGTGTATGAACTACAGTGGCGGATCAACCTGACTCGTTGATGTGTCGCTTGTTTCTCTAGACGCAGCTATACAAAACGAAAGTTTATATTCTTTACTTATATTTTCTGTTGGCTGTGCTTAATCGTCATTATACAACGGGGAAAGTCTCTAAATGAAGACGGCTAACTGGATTCATGTCGATATTGTGTAGTCTCAGCTGTGGCTAGCGAACATGATCAGCTAAATCTTTGCCTGCTAACTCTTCTTGCCCTTGCAGTAATCTTTAGGGTATACTGTGCCGACCACACATACACCACACTCAAGACTGCGGTGAGTGCAACAGCCGAGTTTATCAAGAGAAACGCTGCCGAAAAGTTGAGCCTCAAGGATGACCTGGTGCTGGTTGAAGTGAAATCTTCAGGAGGTGCGATTATCTTTTTGAGTACTGAGAAAATACTGGTGTGCCAATAATGAATAAAATAATTTTGATTATAGCGCAAGGTATGACTCGATGTTCACATCGCAGTGCCGCTATATGTAAAAAGCCCTACGTTTTATGGGCTTACGAATGTTTCGGAACGTGAATGCATGCCCGAATAAACACCCTATTGATCCAAAGATGACAATATAATATGATGCCAGTAAGTATGAGTCCTGAGGGCATGATCATCATCATTCCCGGCTTGCTTTAGTCTACTGTAGGGTGAAACTTTTCCAACGATTTCTAGTTCATTCTATACTGTGCAAGCAGATTCCATTTTAATTTCGCAAACTTCTTTATTTCGTCATTCCATGTAACCCTCGGCCTTCTTTTACTCTGTTTCCCATCCTTTGGTAATCATTGTGTTTATTATTGCGATAGCAATTATATGAAAAGTATCAGCTAGTTGTTGTCGTCGCCGCCATCGTCGCCGCCATCGTCCCGCACTGTATATATATAATATTCAGTGCTAGACTTGCATGTCCATAACGACGAAGCGTTATATATACATATATATATATACATATATATATATATATATACTCGTAACAAGTTCACGTGCTATGTGACGCCAAACAGGCTCAAAAGAGTGGGCCACACTCGCCGCCATGGCTACTGGTGGCGGTGACTGACACTCCCACGCTTAATTCACATATAAACCCTATAAAGTGGCTGGGGGGATGGCTGTCGTGGTAGCTCAGTGATAGAGCATCGAACGCGTCATTCGAAGGTCGCAGGTTCGTATCCTGCCCACGGCAAGTTATCTTTTCACCCACTTTTCTTCATACATACATTACAATTTGGTCTAATATCTTCCCCTATACTTTCCTTGGCATTATTGCCTGTTAGATCTCATTATTATTATGTAAAAACATGAAAAAACGAGCCCTTAGGTATACACTTCTTTCCCTAATTCATTAACAAGGGTCTCGTACTGGCAGACTTAGTGCCTTTAGGTTATATATATATATATATATATATATAAGGCTCTGTTGTTATAGACATGCGAATTGAGCACTGTACTTTGTGTTTGTGATCTTTATGAACTACGGGCTCTAAACTTCGACAAGGGGTTGAAGTAAGTCAAACTGGTCGATAGTTACTTATCCAAGTTTTGTCACGTGCTTGATACAAAGGCCTAATACAGGCAATCTTTCAGTCCTCAGGGAGCACACTTTCATTCAGAGGCCTAGTATACAATACAAACAAATGTTTTGCACACTACTCTGTGTACCATTTTAAGAAAGCATTCAATATCTTATCAGGTTCAAATAATTTTTTACATCCAGATACAACAGTAGAATGAACATACCCTGCTCCTATTGTCCACCATTCGTCCATTCTGCGCATCACGTTACGATCCCATTTCTTTCGCTTGATGTCAACTATGACATGTCTGTTAACTTCTTGCCCATTCTGCCATCCTCAGATTTCCTAATCTCAATCCCGCCATTTTATGTACGGTTACCCGCCGTACAGTCCTCAGCACCTGCTTTAGTTGTTTCCTTATTCGAGAAATGATAAAGGAAGGCACAAGAGCCTATGTATTGCAGGATGCAACTGTGCTTAGTACTATACCAGACTTTGTGGCTCTATAGCAATCATTCGCATTATCGGAGCAAACGGTTCCATGCAGGCGATAATCTATTTGCTCATTCTCCATGCTCGATTACTAGTTTTAATGATGAAATATCAATAGCTCAATGAGAAAATAGGTAATAAAAAAAGGCAGTTGGTATTCAGAAACTTCTGGAAATCTACTTGGTCTTAAAGCCGATTCACACTGGTGTTGGTTTCTAAAATGAAAATTACATATACTAAGCCATATGTATTATTTCGCATACAAAATTTCGTGTAGAGATGAGGTTCAGCTACAACTATTCGTTTGTACAAAGTTGGTGTTTCGAGATACAGTTTAACGAAATTGGTCATCCCGGTTGGTGCTTCACATAAGCTTGTAAATAAAAGAGACTGATAGAACTCGCTATAATACCAGTCTAAGACTCACAAATAAAAGCATAAATGAAATCTTAACAGCGTGTAATCCTTGGAAGGGCAGTGCGAAATGACACGAGCAAGAGAACTTAGCTTGCAGGATGGGCGCAACCTGCACTGCCTCTTTTGTGCGTGTATTTTCGCACTGCCCTGCTAAATATTCAAGAATGCACCAGTTGGCGTGAACAGAAGCGCCACTGCAACAATTGTAACCGTTAGACTGAGCCAGAACTATTTTTTCAGTTATCTTTTTTTAATTCATTCCAGAACGTATCGCATTCAAGGACTCTGAGGTGAGCGTACCGACCGGTCTGAGTATCAATGGAAGAGTCTTCATTTCGCCGGCAGATCACCTGGATGCCCTCGTGAGTTCCTGTTTTGACAATTGCTTACTGCTTGCTGAATGTTACAATTTGCGTGTGGGATATAAATAAAAGCAGTCGTAGCAAGTGACATAAACATAGCAAGTGACCGATATGCTCGACCAATCGATATTGTTACGTTTAGTAATCTATTGATTATGCTGAGGCGTACTGGTAGACTTCAAGGGGTCATGCACCGTAGGCCTATCTCGCTAGCCGAATGTCCTCTTCTCTAATCTGCCTGTTCCCCGCTACCCACCGGCTCATACCCAAATCACATATGCAGTAACATTTCCCTCTGCGCAGACGAAGCCCACCAGGCGAGTTAAAGAGTCTCTCTGAAAATATAGCGCTTCAAACGTGCTATGTGGACTAGTTCAGTCTTTGCAGATCGTCGGCCATTTGAATGAAGACAGCTATGCAGTAAGTTACATCGCTTAAGCGGTCTAAAACAACATTGATTGATATGTGGGGTTTAACGTCCCAAAACCACTATATGATTTTGAGAGACGTTGTAGTGGAGGGCTCCGGAGATTTCGACCACCTGGGGTTCTTTAACGTGCACCCAAATCTGAGCACACGGGCCTACAACATTTCCGTCTCCATCGGAAATGCAGCCGCCGCAGCCGGGATTTGAACCCGCGACTTGCGGGTCAGCAGCCGAGTGCCTTAGCCACTAGACCACCGCGGCGGGGCAGGTCTAAAACAACATAAGGTCCCACGTAGTGTGCCAGCAATTTTTCACACAACCCAAATTTCCTATTTGGCGTCCACAGCAACACGTGGTCTCCGCGATTATACGTCACGTGTCGACGTTGATGGTCAAAACGTGTCTTCGAGCGATCTTGCGAAGCGAGGGTGCGCAGGTAAGCAAGACGTCGGGCTTCTTCTGCACGGCAGACGATCTCGGATATACCGGAATCATGGTGGTCCATAAACGGGAAGACGGTATCTAGAGTATGACGAGGTGGCCGAGCATACAGAAGAAAAAACGGACTGTAGCTGGTAGTCTCATGCTGTGCGGTGTTAAATGCGTAAGTGATGAAAGGTAGCACGTCATCCCAGTTCGTGTGATCTGCTGCGACATACATAGAAAGCATGTTTATGAGAGTCCTGTTAGTTCGTTCCATCAAGCCGTTTGTTTGGGGATGATATGGCGTAGAGTGCCGAAAGCTTGAAGCGCATAGACGACGCATCTCTTCTACGACATCTGCAGTGAATTGTCGCCCACAATCACTGATAACAATTTTAGGAGGTCCATGTCGTAGAACCACAAAACGCAGCATGAATAAACACACGTCAGCTGCAGTTGCCAATGGTATAGCAGCTGTCTCGCAGTACCGTGTTAAGTGATCGGTACATACGACTATCCAGCGATTGCCATTAGAAGACCTCGGAAAGGGACCTAGAAGGTCAATCCCAACTTGCTCGGATGGAGTTCTAGGGGGTGGAATAGGATGAAGTCGCCCTGGAGGAGCACTGGTAGGGCGCTTGCGGCATTGGCACTCGTTGCAACTAGAGACGTACTGTTTCGTCATCTGGCGCACTTTCGGCCAGTAAAATCTTTCTTGAAGCCGGCAAAAAGTTTTCGCTGTGCCTAGATGGCCGGACGTTGGGTCATCATGCATAGCCTGCAAGACGGAAACGCGAAGGCTCTTTGGAACCACGAGAAGATATCGTAAGCCAGTCGTAGCATAGTTCTTTTTGTACACAAGTCCGTCGCGCATGCAGAAGCGAGTCGCCGATGGTCTTGACTCGGTAGGAAGGAGCTCCTGTATGGTGTGGTCCCTTTGCTGTTCAATCTTAAAGGCATTGGTATCAGGAAATGGCAGGTCTGATGGCGCGATGTAGGTGTCGAAGTTGCCCGTGTCGCAGTCCGTCGATGGAACCGGCAGTCGCGAAAGACAATCTGCATCAGCGTGATGACGGCCGCTTTTATAGGAAACTGTAAAGTCGTATTCCTGCAGACTGAGTGCCCAGCGCGCTAATCGACCAGATGGGTCACGTGTGAAGTTCTATGGGAGCCAGAGGATCGAAGTGTTGAAGAATCGGATGGGATGTTAAAAGGAACTTCAACTCAGAAAAAGCGGACGTACATTCCGGAGTCCATTCAAATGGCACGCCTTTCTGAAGCAGGCACGTGTGTGGGTGCGCGATATTGGCAAATTCAGGAATGAATCGACGGAAGTACGAGCAGAGGCCCAAAAAGCTGCATAGTTCTTTCGCTGATTGAGGTTGCTTGAACGCCTCCACTGCAGCTGTTATCGCGGGATCCGGCCGTATGCCTTCTTTGTTCACCAAGTGTCCAAGGACGAGTGTTTGGCGCTCTCCGAAATGACATTTCTTTGAGATGAGCACCAAGCGTGCTTTGCTTAGACAGTTCAGCATGAGGTCGAGGCGTGTGTTGTGCTCACAGAAAGTGCGCCCAAAAATCACAACATCTTCTAGATAACACAAGCATGGTTCCCACTTTAAACCACGCAGAATTTTGTCCATGATGCGCTCGAAAGTTGCAGGTGCATTGCATAGTCCGAATGGCATCACATTAAATTCAACAAGTCCATCTGGTGTAACAAATGCCGTTTTCTCTTTATCTTCCTCGTGCATAGGAATCTGTCAATACCCTGGCCTCAAATCAACAGACGAAAAGTAGGAGGCTGATGAAAGACAGTCTATAGCATCGTCAATACGTGGTAGTGGGTATACGTCCTTTTTTGTGATGGCGTTGAGACGGCGGTAGTCAACGCAAAATCGCCACGTTCCATCTTTCTTCTTGACCAATATTATGGGAGCGGCCCACGGACTGCGTGATTCCTGAATCATATTCTTCTTTAGCATCTCGCCAACCTGTTCATTTATCACTGTGCGTTCCGAAGGTGATACCCGGTATGGCTTTTGTCGAAGAGGTCTATGGTATGCCGTATCTATGCGGTGCTCTACACGAGAAGCAGGGAATGACAGTGGAGCCTGTAGCTGTGCAAAATCGAAAAGACCAGCTTGTTTGTGCAAAAAACTCGTCAGGTCATTACGCTCGTTGGTGCTAAGAGACTTGTCAATCATTGCCATTATGGAGGTGTCCCTGGCGTGCAAATGATTGGAATCGGGCTTATCCGGAGAATCACTGCTCTTTGCAAGGATGGCAAGGGAGAACACTTCATGTTGATGAATCTTAGCAAGTTAGACCCTCTGGCAGTACCGAAAGTTCATTGGAGCCGTTGATCACCCACAAACCAGTATGCCCTTGCACAACCGACAACGTACAACAGGGTATTAGAACATTTTTCTTTATGCAGCTGAGGTGAATGGGCTCTACGGGGGCATCAAATGTCGTCTCGGTTGCAGGGGAACTGAAGACAGGAACACACTTGGCAGACAAGGGTGGTACAGTTGTGTCCATGGACACGCAAAGGGTGTTTTCCATACAGGGCGGGCTTTCCATAAATGCTACCGGAACATTTGAATCTACTGTAATCTCTCCTGTGCAGCAATCAACAGTGGCACCACAAAGATCCAGGAAATCAAGTCCTAGAATTACATCATGCATTGAATAAAAGAGAACAGTAAAATCAGCGATAAAATTCTGGCCACCGAAACTAACCGTCACTGAGCAAACACCAACAGGTTGTAAGACATCTCCGCTCACTCCATGAAATGTATCAGCACGGTCCCAACGGAACATAACCTTTCGTCCAAGAAGGCGTTTGAATGCTAGACTCATCACTGATATGGTTGCACCTGTGTCCACTAAGGCCATTGTTGAGACACCGTCGATTAGTACATGAACCTTATTTCGAAACATGCAAATTAAAGGAGGCATTTCTGTGGAAATCGAAGACTGTCCAGCGACCTCATCTCCAACGGTCGCGCCGACTAGTTTTCCGGCGGCGGCGAAGGGTAGCGGCGCCTAGGAGACGGCGACCGATTCGAGCGAGGGGCTGGCGGGGGTGTCAGACTGCGGTCAGAGGCCGGAGAACGGTGTCGCAGCGGCCTTGGTATCTCGTGGGACGCGCTTCCAGGGGACGTTGGTGTTCGTGTAAAGCGAGACAGGTGGGATCTCGGTGAGCGGTCGTACCTTGGCGGCTGCCGGTAGTTGCAGTACCTGGCAATGTGGCCTTCGACGCCACAGTTGTAGCAGACGGGCAGGGGTCGTTCGCCAAACCACTGCTGAGAGTGCTCCGCTGTGTAAGGTCACCTACCCGAACGGAGTGGAGCAGCTTGCTGAACGGGAACTGCCTGCCTTTGTGGAGCGGGCCGGTATAAAGGCGTCGGTCATACCGCTGGTCAGGCGCGAATGAGTCTCGGCGTGGCCAGGAATTTCCAGCTTCGCTAAAGTCCGTCGCACATACCGATGGTGGCAGAGGAGCGAACGGCGCCGGGTAGTAGGATGAACAGGTAGGCGGATGATGGATGGTGTCGTCGGCCAGTGTGTCTTGTCACTGTAGCTCCTCGCGCACTATTGCCCTGATAGTAGCGGCAAGGTCGACAGGCGGGCTTGCGTCGACGCTCGCGACCGTTGTGACATTTGCCAGCCTACCGAAGTTCGGGGCAATACGATGGGTTTTCAGCTTCTCGAAAGTACGGCAGTGACGTTTGACGGCGGATACGGAAGTGAGGTCTTCCCTGCCTATCAAAAAATTGTAGACGTCCTCTGCTATACCCTTCAGATGGTGTCCGACCATGTCCTCCTCAGACATATACTGGTCTAAGATCTTGCAGAGCATCAGAATCTCCTCTATGTAGGCGGTACACGTTTCTCCAGGAGTCTGGGCTCTTTGAGCCAATGTGCGTTCCGCGCTTTTCTTTTTAGAATCAGAGTCACCGAAGCATTTCTTGAGTTCTTCGGCAAAACGATCCCACATTGTTAAGGAATCTTCGTGGTTTTCGTACCACATCAAGGCGGTTTCCGTGAGAAACAGTGCGACATTTCCCAGTTGGTCTGTGGGATTCCAGCCGTTGTACCGGCTCACCCTTTTGTAATGTGTCAGCCACGCATCCACATCTTTCCCTGCTCTTCCCGCGAACGAGCGTGGTTCCATATAGCGTACCAAGGTGCAGCCGGCACTGACCTTTGCGTGGTTGAGGAGCCGTGACCTTCACTCTCAGTCATGATGGTTGTTGTCGGTGGCAGACCAGCAAGATGACGGCTCAGGCGAAGTTCAAACAGCTGTGGCTCCGTGGTTCGTCGACGTGCTGTACCCAGCACCTCCACCACTCTGTTATGTTTAGTAATGTATTTATTACGCTGAGGCGTACTGGTAGACTTCAAGGGGTCATGCACCGGAGGCCTATCTCACTAGCCGAACGTCTTCTTCTCTAATCTGCCTGTTCCCCGCTACCCACCGGCTCATACCCAAATCACATATGCAGTAACAATATCGACCAACGATACACCTAGCAAAGGAATATTACGTTCCTCGAATCGAACCGTTCAAAAAAATATTGTTCGTCACACCACGATGTTACATCGCGGCACCCCAAATCATCTACTATAGTTGTGCCGTGGGTTGCTGTTGTCGCTGAAAGTTTCGTGAAGTTGTTTGTAATAAATCATGGTTGTGCCTTCCATGCCATTAGCGATGTTTGAAAAAAGTAAAATAAAATGCTACGAGGCTTACCGCCTTATAGTGACACACGGATGCCGTGAAACACATCACTTTTTATGCGGATTGCTTTCAGACGTTTGGGATATCCTGAGCACCATGAAGAAACTATAATAATGTTTATTTATATGTGCCGCGTCCTTCAATACTAGTCGTCGCTACCACGAACCGAACCATCTGTCTCCTGCCCAACAGAGAGCACTATGTAAACGGAGCCAGAGGTGCTGGCTCAGTCGAAATATGTTATTATGAGCTTAGAGTAACAAGAAAAGAAAGTTCCACAATTGATTTATAGTCATTAGCGTGACGTGGAAAAAAAAACTGGAGAGGAGAATATGATGATAACGATTATGTAAACACAGGAGGGATGTATTTGCCGCTGGTATCGATGTCATGTTCCATGAAAATTAAGGCCAAAGTGATAATATAGTGCCCCGCTCGTGCCACGTTATCTCTGCGAGTGAAAGCATCCGAAATCCACTCCTGGGTGCGACTCACACAAAGTTGAAACGCCCTTGCCATTCATCTGATGAAGGAACATGAAGGCCTGCCGGTTGAAGGGGCTGCTTTAGTTGAGCGGTGACTTCGAACTTGGATCAGAAAGATGCACTCGTGGCCTCTATCTCGAGAAAGATCAGTAGACTGCTCATAACTTTGTAGCTGCTCTGTCTTCATAGCTTACTTCTCTTTGAAAGGACTGGGGGCACGACAACCGTCGCACTCGCTGGGGCGTTTGTACTGTCTTATGCCAGCGTTTTGTAGAATTGGTTTGGTCCCTGTTTTTTTTTTGCTGCGGTTCATTATTGGATTTAATGTCATTTACTATGAGCTCCTAGTAAGAATGGCTCTTTCACGATTTGCAAAACTGTAAAATAGGCTGATAGGTAATTAATTGCTTCTTGATTACACTTAAACTGGCACTTTGGTATTTACATGTATGTAACACGAATATAAAAATGAAAGGCTTCTCCTGTTCCGGACGAATGACATTTATCTTTCATGAACCGTCCTTCATATAGTGGAATTTAGCGCAATAACTTTGCTGTAGCCATAAAATACGAATGCAGGAGAAGGAAAAATATATAGATGCTCACTTTTTATGCTACCTGGCATCGAGAAATAGATGGGACATGTGTTGGTAGGAAGGTTTTAAAAGGAGAGAGAGATAGCTTTTTTTCTGGAGACTTCACTGCCTCAGCAATGGATTTTTTTTTTTTGGTTTGACGCACATTCAGCTCCGAGGGCATCATGGCGAAACTGTAAAGGGTCCGAGGTTGATGATGGCAACCCACCGCTGTCACCTGTTGTTAGGGTCTCGAGGTCGATGGGAGGTACGACGGGTTTCTTCACGAGAGCTGGCTCCCCGCCGTCGTCCGCATAGCCGATCTTCGCCAGTGAGGGGACGTGTTCTTAGAGAAAGAACGATGGTTCATTTACATGAAGAAGATAGAACTAAACAGAGATTCAGCTGAGATTCCGCTTATGTACAAAATATCTTCAGCTTTTACAGCCCGTTGATTCCTTACACGACGCCCCGCCGCGATGGTCTAGTGGCTAAGGTACTCGGCAGCTGACCCGCAGGTCGCGGGATCGAATCACAGCTGAGGCGGCTGCATTTCCGATAGAGGCAGAAAGGTTGTAGGCCCATGTGCTCAGAATTGGGTGTACGTTAAAGAACCCCAGGTGGTCAAAATTTCCGGAGCCCTCCACTACGGCGTCTCTCATAATCAAATGGTGGTTTAGGGACATTAAATCCCACATATCAATTGATTCCTCACACGACAGTCCAAAGAACGCGGTTACCACTGCTGCCATGAATCAGATGACGTTAAATATCAGTGATCCACCCACCAGAAAGGGTGCAGATAATTCGACCACTCGGCTGATGAGAAACACCTCTCAACAAATGAGAAACACGGGCGCAAAATGTCCAACGGGTAATACGAGCGCACCGCACAATAATGCACCCAGCCCACGCCTTCAAGACTTCACAGGGTGAGGGGTAAGACCTCGGTGTAGAGGGAAAGTCGAGCTCCTCTTAAGGAAGATGGCGACTGACATGAACGTCAGCAGTGGTCCAAGGCTGCGTTTTGCTACAGTGTTCTGGAACTTTCTCGAACATGGCTGTTCGGGTGCTCGTTTCCTGAGAACGGTGACAGCGACGCCTGCCCACGCTTCCATACTGTTGGTGCTTTTGTGACAACCTCGTGTAGGCGACAATAACCGAGTCGAGAGGTTGACTCCATGAGAACTGCAACAGTGGCGCTGTCTCCCACTGTTAGAACCCCTTCAACAAAAAGTTGTTCGCGATGGTTCCATCGAGTTTCTCGTAACCTGATCACAGCGAACTGCCTGGCCCACCTGCAGGACAGCATCGTGCTTGGTGCTTCTGACCGGGCGCCGATGGGGTTGAAAGCATTCTAGCCTACCGGCTTACGCACAATGATGTCTGTTAAGATGAACTGCCGGGCCAATTGTACCAGAACCCAAAGAGTCTTCATTCAAGAAAGTATTTGGCTGACACTAGTGACAGGCCATCCGATGGTCGACACAAACAAGATTCGGACATGACTTATGTCGTTTTAAAACTGTGTACAATGATGTAAAATAATCAGTCCAGGATTTGTGGTTGAATTCATTACATAGTGTTTTCGAGCACAAATTTGTATGAGTCCGTGTTATAACCTTACCTGTATTCCTTGCCGTGTATTTCAGACGCCTCTGAGCGAACAAGAGGGCCCGGCGGAAGGGACAGGTGCACTTCTGGAGACACTCAGCTCGCACGACATCGCCTACCACATGTCCCTCTACGACTGGCATCTATTCTCATGCATACACGAGGTACGTGCAGAAGGCTTAGTGATGTTGTTGAGAAATGTCTCGTAAGTTCAACATTGGCATTTAGCAAAATTTACTTGCCCAAGAACAGAGAAATTTATGTTGCATGTTGCAAGCCTGTTGGAAGTCTATTTCATAATCCAGTTCTTCTGATATTGTTGCATATCCGTCAAAAATATTGCTTTCACAGTTTCTTCCACAATTTTTGTGACATCAGCTAGTTATGTGCAGTGAAAATGCTGTATGAAGTGATTAAAGGAGTATCTGCTGTTTCTTGTCAAGGCGATAAGTGAGCATTATGGTTAGGGGAGCCGCCTTGTGTTTTGCCGCTTCTATAGATGCTGAACAACAAGCAGCAGAAGAAAGCTCAGTGTGCTTCATGAAACATGGTACTTTGCATCAACATCTTACACTAGGAATCGTTTTGTTGTTCAGTGCATTCAGTGGATCTGAATCTTTGATAACATGCTATATTATTGTGACATGAACTCACAGCTGCTATTGGCAGTTAAAACAACACTGTTGAAACAGCAATGAGAATAAACAGCAACATGGCTTGGCTGTTGTTGTTCGTGTGCATTCGTGCACACGACCAACAATACACGAACAAACAATACACGAACCAACAATACACGAAGTCTTCATCTACCAATGCATTCAATTATTTTGAGCCGTTCTTTTTGTTTACTTCACGTTGCAGTACGAGCTCATATACCAGGTGTTCGGAAGGCATCAATTCCGGAAAATTATGTCGAACCTGGACGTGTTCCAGCGGAGGTTCAACGAGGTTCAGTTCTGGGTCGTCACTGAGATGTGCCTGGCGAATACACTCAGCCGGAGAGTTGCACTTCTGCGGAAGTTCATCAAAATCGCTTCACAGTGAGTTGGCAACTGATTATCAGATTGTTATATATCCAAAACGAGCCTTTTCGAAATTCTGCATCAAAATTAACGTTAGTCAGTGGCAATCATATGAAATCTGCTCTTGACTTCATGACGTGGGGAAAACGAACAGCAAGCCAGAGTGAAAGAATTCTTGATAGTTAAAGCTAAAACAATATTGCACTACCTTCCCTCGAATTACATCAAATCTTTCAATGCGAGCGAACCACCTGCCAGAAGGCCAAGGCATTCAGTTCAGATACTTTTTTTATCTTCAGGCTTAGCCTACCTGTCCCCAACAGGGGAGGAGCCCAGTGCTCGCTAATCTCGTCTCTCAGGACGATTAACAAAGTTTAACCAACCATTCATCTTATTCAGCTCCTACATTTTTCATCCTCAAATACCCTCAGCAATGTTTCCTCGGGCTAAGAATATTATTAAATTTGCTTTGAGTTGCCAAGTAATTCGCCCTTGTCTTGCAGTCTACCATCCTTCTTGCGAGGCCAGATGGTAAATTGACTGACCACAATAGAATGAGCAGAAATGCTGGGTTTGACCAAGTACAAAGAGCTGTGATTTATATCACATTTATCCATTCATTGAATAAAAATTACACTAGCATTAGATAGAAGTATGCAAGCACTTATTCACTGGTTGAGGCTAGGCACCGTATAAACAAAACATTTTTTGCCCAGAATTGCCAGAGCTGAAACTCCAGAATGCGAACATAGATTTATAGATGAAGATGTATGTCACCTTCTTATACACTGCCCACAGCATGACATGTCATGACACCGTCTTAAATCTGAACTGTTGGCATGAGACCGCAGACCGTTTAGCATCAAGAAACTTCTGGGCCAGTGGGCAACTGCGGCTTCACAGACTTACGCCTTAAAAGCACTAAAACATTTCTTATAAGACAGCAGAGTCGCTGGAAAGTACTAAAAAATAAAAACTTTCATTTGTGTAACACATCGTACTTGTTATGCACAGCATTATATGACATCTATCGTGTGTGCTGAAGTGCATAGCGTGTGAACTGTTACGTACCTATGAGCGAATACATCTCCTTAAGGACCAGATGTGTGCTCCTCTATTTTGTGCCGGTTGGATTGAATGTTAACGAGGGACATTCATTAACTTTGAAAGATTTCCTTATCATTGTGTTGGTGTTGTTTGATATGAGCATATGAGTGTGTTTTTGCATATTTGTGCTCTGGTGTTCTATTTACATGCACTGCTTTCACTGTTTTTCTTTGAGATATGTGTTTCACTTTCACTCAGACTAAGGAGCAGCCAGCGTCGTACTTGTGCGCTAACATCTTCTTATATATCATATCAATAAAAAGACAGTTGTGGTTTTAATACCACTGCACACAAGAATTTATAAAGTAATTACGTGGGATTTTTTTGCAGATTGAAGCGAGATTCTGCTATAATATATGTGTTTTTTTTAAAGCTACTTTCTAAATGATGATTTCAGTCAAGTGTATCTGCAAAATTTCCGCAAGAGTGTCTCGGTACATAAGGTTGCGGCTCAGACACGTTCTCCGTGCTTGCTGGTGTCATAGTGCACATATGCAGGTGTTGTGTAAAGTGCTGTTCTACCTGCTGAAAACTCGTCCGTTATTGGAACGGAATGTTTTGTGGTAGTGCCCTCCAAAAGAATCCATGCGGAAGAATTCATTTGTGTATTTCTGAATCAATAGGTCTACGGGCTTTTGTGAAATATCCTAACAGTACTTGCTGTCATAGCTGTTCAGTGTATGAGGCTACTTTGCTTAAGTTTGTTTCTATTTCTTTCTCGTTTCCCTCCCATTGTCATCTTCAATTCCCACACGCCCTTTCTTCGTGCAGGGTGGCCTATTGAATCTAGCTAATGCAAACTATTACGTCTTTCTATGCATTGTATATATCCTTATCTCGTTGTAATAATGCTCCATACATATCCAACAAACCGTACAGTTCTCCAACCCTGCACTGACATCTTACACGCTTTCTGGCTCGCAGCTGCCGTGAGTACCAGAACTTGAACGCGTTCTTCGCCATCGTCATGGGATTGAGCAACGTGGCCGTGAGCCGGCTGAGTCAGACCTGGGAACGACTGCCAGGAAAAGTGAAGCGCACCTTTGCTGAATTTGAAACGCTCATCGATCCATCGCGAAACCATCGGCGGTACCGCGTGGCTGTATCCAAGGTGCAGCCGCCGCTGGTACCCTTCATGCCACTTCTGCTGAAGGACATGACCTTCTGCCATGAAGGCAACAAAACCTACATCGATGGGCTCGTCAACTTTGAGAAAATGGTGAGTCCAGACTCTCTCGCCACAAATAAAAGTAAATCTCATGCAATGTCGGCTGAAATTTTATTCTATTCTGTCAATTTCGTTTTTCAGTGCACGTTAGGGAATCGTGTTTCAAAGGACTATTTCTTGCCAACAAGATTACACCTTGAGAACATAAACAGTTCTCTCAAAAGGTTTTTTTGTCGAGGCCATATAGATTGAATCACATTGATTGTGTTTTTAAGATAACAGCCATGTAATGAAGAGAAGTTAACCATAAGAACACTTAAGAAAGACACTCTAGAACAATTCTACATAACCATCAGGACAGTTTGGCCTTACTGCTTTGTCATTGTATGCATTTATTTTCAGTTAAGGTTGTGTATCTATCTAGAAATAGTTTTCAATATTACATGGCTCAGTCGCTGTAAATTATCTTTGTCTGGTTTCTCTGATTTTGCTGACAATCAACGTGTGTATATGTTCTTTGTTATCCCCTGCTATTTACATACTAAGTACTCTTGACTAATATTCATCTCGCAAAAATATTTTTTTCTTTCTAGCACATGATTGGTCAGACACTCCGGTCACTGAGGCACTCAAGAAGCCAAAGACTAAGTGAGTAGATTTGGCTGTTCTATGGAATGTGCTGGTTTCGTCCGTATATGAGGCTGAATAACACATAACTACTTGAAGCGCCAGTCAATATTGTGAAATAGTACGGAGTTGCTTTATGTCATATGTTTGCAAAAATAGCTGTGGTAGTTTTAGAATTACTCCAACTATATACTAAGATCACATCAAAGTGAAATTCTATGTAAATTTATAAAATAAAGGAAAATCAATCCAGCCACAGCAGCAATGAGATGTGTAACAAAATTTATTTGGAATTGTTTTGATGACTGTTCTTTGGTCTTTCTGTAGATTTGGAGCCACCACCACCAGGAAAGGCCCAGCAAGATGTTCGAGAGTATATAAGGTATTGTACCAATTACATGCCAGCATTCTTAAAAAACATCTAACCAGTAGGCATTTGTAGGGAGATGTGGCTGTCTATAAACAGGAGAAATACTTATCTTCTTTTAATTTTTATACACTATATCAAATGATCAAAACTTTCAGGTCATACAAATATGTTCTAACATTACAGTATGGAAGCTTTCGTGTACACAAAGCAAGCATACAAAGGTGGTGATGATTCAGACTAACTGGCGAAATTGAAATATTATCATTGTTCCAGTCATTGGTGCTGCCGTATGTTTAATTGAACACTAAAAAAGAAATGCTATGAAAACTCTTGCAATTATAGTGATAAAAGAGGATATAAGAACAAATATCCAAAGAAATAAATAGAAAACATTAAAAAGAATGTTTTCTATTCATAAAACTTATATTAAGGCATGTGAGTAACATTCAGTAGTAAAAATCAAGGAAACAAAATAATGCAGCAATTGGACTCGCATGCTCTTGAAATAAATATTGCTATATTGAGTAGTAACAAATAGATAAAGGGGCCTTTCCTCTATAAACACTTCATTTAAATAATACAAGCATAAGTAGGCAGCTTAAGTGGATCCTGATTGTAAGCAATTTGCAGTTGGCCACTAACTTCTGATGAATGGTATGTTATAAATATTTAAGTTATGTTGTGTAAATGTTGTGACATTTTTGCTGTTCTAACTGACATTTTCTGCATGCTTAAATGTGCGCATTAGATGACGTGCATGTTAATATAGATTTGGCTGCTTTCTCTCCACCTGCACCAATTTTTCATCAGGCACTGTGAAAGATAGCATCAAGGTTCATTATGTAACAAAACATCACAACATTATGCTTTCTCAGATTAACAATGCAATGGTTAACATACTCTTGTATATCGCATGAAAATGCATAATGATCTGATGTGCTGTACGCTTTTTGCTTCCTTTCAGAACACTCAAGGTGATCGACAATCAGAGAAGGCTTACACAACTCTCGCATGCTTTGGAGCCACGGCGGCCCTGAAGATGAAGCTGCAGTCTTAATTTATTCAGACTTGGCATGAAATGCTAGCCATGATCTATGAGACGTCATTGTTCTCAGCTTCTCTTGGAACTCATTGTTAACATTGTAGTTTAGGTGTAAATGCAAAAACTCTTCACATGGTGCATACAGAATTGTGTTATATATACAAGATGAGTTAAGAAGGCAGTGAAGACCAATCGTCCATTTAGAAAAAAAAAGCCACTTGCCAGCATATGGAGAGCTAAAGGTTAATTGAAAAGGGGCAGGAGGAGGAGAATGAGTGCAGCTGTCACTACAACCGCTGCTGTCATGGCTGCATTACTACTACATTCAGACTTTTCCTGATGGTTGTTGCCTCAACACTCTGCTGTTGAAGTCTGTTTATGGTTATTTTCCCAATGCTCAGTGTTCTCCACCAGGTGTGAGGGGAAATGGCAAAGATACCGGAAGCTTGTAAAGCTTCTCAAAATGCAGTTAAGAAGCTTTGTTGAGTTTGAGTAGATCAGCAAAGTGTGCATTCGTAAGAAATTGTCACGTGGGCAGAGTTTCTAATTTCAAAGAGCCATTCTAGACATGAATTTTTGACATATTACTATATTTACTCGCATAATCCTCACACTTTTTTTTTTGGCGGAAAACTGATACAAAGTAGGGGGGTGCGAGAATTATGCGGGGAAAACTTTCCACAAAAACGTACAGAGCGAAAAAAAAAACGAAGTAGCTGCAAATCGGGATTCTCACCCCAGCAACTAACAGCAAGCTTCGAGAAGTACTAATTAAAATTTACCTCAATAATAAAAGCGCTGAATCAACACAAGGCAAGATTTATTGGAGACACAAAAAGTGCAAGCAAATATTCAAGAATTAGAATACCATACGCAAAGCTTGTGGGCGTTGCGGGCATAGCGATAGCATTCGTCGCTCAACAGGAGCCCTCAAAAGGTAAGCGTAGGACGTCAGTATTGGGCTTATGGCTATTTAACAGAATCGTCCACAGTTTACTTCTGAAGAAATAAAGTTTACCATCAATCCCAGTTTTAGGCACTTGGCAGGCCCAAGGCGTCTTGGTTGCTTGCAGCTGCCGTCACCAGTAGCGAACACAAAACTCGTAGACTCCGAAGGGCCTACCGGCGGCTGTATTGCGGTTGTTTATTGCATGATCTATCAATTCTGACTTGAAAGCAGCCGTGTAGCTTCAGTATCGCCCCATATCGTGACAAGATTACCGACACGACATACAAAACATGCTGCAACGCGCACTTGACACTTTGGTTTGGATAGAATCGGATTGAATTTCCGTGCAATAATAGTATGCTTAAGGCTTAAGAGATGACGCCAGATGGCGTGCACTTTCATCATCAGTGGCTGGAACGAGCAGACGACATTATAAGGGCAGTTTTCGGGAGTGCGATAATTACTCGAGGCAAAAAATAAATCGTATTTTTGTTCGTTGATGTGGGGGTACGAGAATTATGCGAGTGCAAGGATTACGCGAGTAAATACGTTGTAGTAACTAGAACACGTGCGTTTTTCATGGTGTTAAATGCATGTAAACAATGTTATTCTGAACATGTGTGGTAAGCTTAGCCACTCTGTAGGTTAACAAAACAAACATGAACACAGTCAAATTGTGAAAACAAAACTGTGGCTCAGTGCAGATATTGTACTTTTAGAAAATCTGGAAAAACAACACTATGTCCAAGTTGTGATACCACACAGCTCATTTTCAAAACATGTCTTTAAATAATGTGCCTATCAATATTTCTCTGATGAAGCTGTGAAAATATTCAGGCAAATTTTGAAAGGAAAACTTAGATGAACACTGCAAAAGTTTTAAATATTGCAGCAGTGACATTATTCGTCTTCTCAATTACCGTGCATGGCACTTCTTCTGTTTTCTTTGCCATTTCCATTTTATTTCCTGCATTTTTCTTGGCATCACATCGTGCTGTGACAAGTCATGAGCTATTGGTGGATCCTCCTAGCCCAGTGTAAAGTCCTGACCAGGTATATGGTCTAGATTTTTTTTGTTTCCCAGAAAAACCACATGTTTGTGAACAAAACTCCTAAGCTGGGGTACTTGTACCTGAACTATTTTTGAGAGACCGCTTCGTTCCTGGACAGATTTTTTATGTAGACCTTTACCCAGATTCTACAAGATGTTGTACATACCTTTGTACAGTGTAGAAGAACATATTTTCATTGAGTTTTACTTGTTTTTCATGTTCTCATCATTCCTTGCTGTTGCATGCTGTTTATTTATAACATACGTATACATGTACATCGAGACTATCCAGTTTGACACCATTCCAGTTATTTAAGTTAGCTTCATATGTCTGTATTTCTATCCACTCCTCACAGGATTACTGCATGCTCTCTCCAATACTGTTAATTCACAGTGGTGTTCATATTCCACTCAAGAATATGTCAAGTAAGCATCGTCCCCCAGTTTTTTACGTAAAAAAAGTTGTTTCATGGTAGCACCTGCCCTCAAGACGAATGCAACGTGAACAAACTGAGACGCCATCACTCAAACTAACTCATATCACATTATAACCAGACACTTGCATTAGATAGGTCGCATATTAACAAATTTATCCTAAAGTAGCTCCATGATAACATTTCCAGATTTGCAAATTAACTGTGTCAGTTGCCTTGAAGAAGGTAGGTAACATAGTGATCGATAGGACTACTTCTTGTGAAGCTCCTTGATGAATACAAAACTAGAATTCACCGTAACAGAAGTTTCTGATTAGTCAATCACAAGTGGTAAAAAACTTGCTTTTTGGAAAATCACACTTGGCAGTTGTTATGGCTTTCACTGAGCTGACAATAAATGCATCTTGGCACCATACAATAAACATCTATGAGAAAGTAATGCCTGTTGTATGCTTTTTAGGTGTATCCTATGTATTTAGGGATTACGAAGGTGATCCTTTAACACCTTATGTTGGTTGAAAACCTATACAGTTTCATCGATGAGCGAACAAGGCAACGACTCACGATAACTTCATCACAGAATTAGCCTGTCACCAGCTCTCATTCATCATTTGACTGCTTCGACACAGTCCCAAAACTTTAGACTCGCGCGGGCTTTGCTGTTTTTTCTGGAGTGGGCAGGTTCTACGCTAAGGGTATGGATGGGTGGCATAAAACATTGGTCATGTTCATAGCTTATGTGTAATCCCTTTACAAGACTGATTATGTGTCGATTGTTGATTTGTGCATGTTTATATCGGCATGTTTCTCGTGCAACATCGTACATCTCTGTGTAACCGTATTCATACAAACTGCACTGCAAACTTGCAGGTTGCATACAGAGCACGCCAGTGCAAATGAGTGTATTACTGTGCACCCAAGAAAGCCTATGTTTTTCACTGGGCAATGCACTGAGAATCCTTTTGACACCTCGGCTTCTGCATTGCACTAGCTTTTTTTTTTTCTTTATTCGTGTGTTGGAAAATCTGATGAAAAGAAATGTAACAGCAATACAGCTACCCAATCGAACTTGCTAAATGAGAGTGCAGAAAATATTCGAAAACGTGGAGAAAAAGGATCTATGCAAACTAGGATGTAGACGACTGCCTCAAGTTGCTTTCCAACGACTTGATGTTTCTAGGGTGTTCAAATTGCTGTTCAGAATTCTGCTTTATGGCCGGCAAAAATTAGGCAGCCTACATATTGTCTTGCATGTTTGTCAGTGTTACTTAAGTAGTGACACCAGCGGAGCTTGATTTAAGCTTGCTCGAGTGCAACGTTGTAATCTGCTTACCATTAGTTCATTGCGTTCTTATACATTATTCTGTCCCTTCTAATGTGCTTAAATGTGCAGTATTTCATGCGACTTTGTTTCAGCACTGGCCCTCATCGCCGTTGTTTTTTTCTCTCACAAATGTTTGCTTGCTTTATACTTTATTCTCTCCTCGACTTACACACTTCAATACTGCCCCTCTGAACATTAATCGTTAGCTGTGTGACCATGTACGTTGTATTCTGTACTGCACCGACCGAAGAATCTGGCGTTTTTCAAGCGTTTGTCTTGTTTTAATGGGTGCAGTATCTGCTTCGGTGTGTACAAGAACAGTGTGACGGTTTAAACGAATAGCTCCCATAACAGTTGTAAAATACACAAATATGCGTGTGTATTTATAACCAAAAATTTTGTTTTTCCCATATAAATATGTATATTCCTCATGTAAAATATGTTTTGATATTTGTATGATTATACAGTAAATGCATAGCGTGAGAAGAAAAAAGAAAGTTGTTCCAATTTGTGGATTTATTGTGTCGAACCACTCGGAGTTCGTGTATTCAACCTATCAGGGTTAAGTATGTGTTAAAGTTTTTCTCAAATGGTCATAAGCCACTACCTGTTTGGAGGTAAGTAACTTGAAGAAATTTCTTACATCGACAATTATTCTGCTACATAGTTTGATAAGTGTGATGAGTTTCGTACCATTGCTGAAGGGGCTGGCACGGTGACGTACTTGAGGGTTCACATGGGAGGCTATGTTGTCGGCTGCGTGCAAAATCATTAGCTCATTCAGAAATATTTTTCAGGTGAGCAGAAGGGGCTCACCCGTACACTATGTTAATGCGTTGGTTCTTATGTGCATGTTCATGTTATACGCATGTAAGCCTGAAAAGATGGGGAGATATGAATCCCTTGTATCATCTCCCCCATCCGGTCATGCCGCTGTTGAATATGTATCGAAAGTAGAGTAGCCGGTGAAGCTTTAGCGGCGCATGCTAGGTGTTTGCCAATCACTAATGAGCAACGACAGAACTTTAGCAAAAAAAAAAAGGTATATCCCTCGTAGAGTGGAATCGAAGATATGCAAAGCACGAATCATCATCACCATCATCAGCCTGACTACGTCTACTGCAGGACAAAAATCTCTCCCTTGTTCTGCCAGTTCACTCGTTCCTGTGACTGCTGCTGCCAATTTATACCCGCAAACTTCTTAATCTCGTCTGCCCACCTAACCTTCTGTCTCCCCCTAACCCGCTTGCCTTTTCTGGGAATCCAGTTAGTTACCCTTAATGACCAGCAATTATCCTGTCTACGCGCTACATGCCCGGCCCATGTCCATTTCCTCTTCTTGATTACAACTATGATATCCTTAACCCCCGTTTGTTCCCTAATTCACTCTGCTCTCTTCTTGTCTCATAAGGTTACACCTACCATTTTTTTTTTCGCTTGCTCGCTACGTCGTCCTCAATTTAAGCTGAAGTCTCTTTGTGAGTCTCCAGGTTTCTGCTCCGTAGCTAAGTACCGGCAAGATACGGCTGTTATATACCTTCCTCTTGAGGGATAGTGGCAATCTACCTGTCATAATTTGAGAGTGCTTGTCAAATGTGCTCTACCCCATTCTTAATCTTCTAGTTACTTAAGTAGCGTCAAATCATGAAAGTCTCAAGTACAACAGACAAAATAGAACTGGCGAGCTTTCGACGTTGATAGGCGTAAGGTATGCGATGTAAGAAGGTATAACATGGAGAGAATCGAACACGATCTGAAAAACAGA